TCAGCGCGCCCAAAACACCCAGTCTCGGCCGCTTGCCAGAAGCTCCTGTGTCCGAGTGGTGTTTCACATGTTTCGGGGTCATCACAACAAGGGGAGGTTGACTTTTGTAAGCGGCAGGTTGTGTACGACGCCGCTGACAGTTAGCACCTGATTGCTTCTTGCTCACAGGGGTCTATCGTCACGAAAACCTTCGCAGTAGTCATTCCCTTCTGGGCTTTCTGAATTTGGCTCGATGGCTGATGAAGATCTGCGAGTTGCCACAAGCAGCCTTCCATCACAAAACAGATTCATAATCTCTCTTATGTGTAAGAACCTCAACAATGTTCCTTGTGGTCCCCATTTTTTGGAAACCTCTATGTCAGGGGTACGAGTGCTTTATCACAGGGTCGAACTACCCACTCGCGAGGATTTGCTGAGTAGCCCAAGTTAGCATAACCTGCATCTCTAGTCGGGAGATGGCTCAATCTGAATTTGAAATTTTGGTCCGCACCAGAGCGGCCAAGGAATAGGCGATTGCCTCCATATCTGGGTTCAGCAAAAAGGACACCAACCATCACCAACCCTTTTAATAGTGTAGTCCAGATAGGGAGAGGTATAGCATCTGCGTGGGCCTTTTGACTTGGAGCTCCAGACAGTTCAGTTCAGCCGACCTGTGCGGACGATAACAACCTATCATATTATATGTTGTGTACATACGCATGATACACAAACATCCGCAGATGCTCCCAAGGTTTAAGTTTGTCAGAACGCATCTCGTGACCTGAGCTGAGCAATGGCTATGCAGGTCACATTAACCCAGGAAACTGGAGCAGTGCATCAGCTGGATGCTGCACTTTGCGACAGTGTTGGAGTCTTTAAGCGACGCGTGGGTGAGCTGTTGCCTGGCATTCATTATGCAGGAGGCTTGTGACAGCAGTCGAGGTTTGCGCGCCTCTTGCCTTATCAGGTTTGGAGTCATGCCGCTAGTGGTGCGCTTGGAGCACGAGAAGAAGCCGTTGCTTGATGATGGTATCTTGTTGGAAGCAGCTCGGCAGCTTCTTCCTGTCCTCTTGCATCCCAGTTCAAAAAGGAGTGCCTGGAACGAATGCCTGGTTCCCAGGTTCTGCTCAACGAAAACCCCGAGAGAGAGGACAGCGAGGAAGCTCCTGCGGATGTCAAGGACCGTCCGCAGCTGTTCCTGTCATTCTCTCTGCGAAGCGCAGCAGAAGCTCACAGTCTACAAAAGTTGGACAGCTGCTCCTGCACCTGAGCTTGACAATGGGCCGTGAATCAGAAGACCTACAGACTTCTGACTTATTATACTCAACGCATGCGCTCCAAGGCAAAGAGGTTCTTGGTCTGCTCAGAGGTCTTGGCGAAGAGGCCCTCAGCAAGGACGACGCTCGGCAAATCTCACCTTCTGCCCGGAAACTGCCGGTCTGTAAAATTTTGAACCGTCAAGATGCAGAAGTTCCAAAGCTTGAGTGCTTTGTTTTTGTAAAGAGGTCATGCTCACCGCCGTCCGCCGGGCACCTGAAGTCCTGCGGCATTTGGACAGGTGGCGTGCGGACAAGGAGCACATGCAGGTGCAATAACTACAGCAGAGTATGCAAACATACTGCTAGAATGGGGTGGCAAACCACAAGCTCCACAAGTCCGTAGCCCTGCAGAGGAGGTGGTTCTGCAGGCCGTGGCATGTGATGGACTAGCTCTGGAGATGGCTTCTGAGTTGCTGAAGGCGAAGCATCAGTGCAAATCTTGCAAAATTGCACGGAGCATTGCTTCAGAGTCGGCACACGTTGACTGCAGGAAGATGAGGAAGTCCTGGCCACTGCCATGACTCAGAATGGTCTGGCTTTGGAGTTTGCAATGGAAGGGGCAAAAGCCAAATGGGAGGCCGAGCGATCTTGATTCTCTCGCATTTGCGACTTGCTTTGGGAACGCCCGAGGTGGTTTCCGTGGCAGTCTCCCAGAACGGAGCTGCTTTGCAACATGCTGCTGAGAGCCTCCGTTCCTCACGCACCACTGTGCTAGCAGCCGTGTCCCATAACGGGCTGGCCCTGAGATACGCCTCGGATGCACTAAGAGCCGATGAGGACATGGGATTTCGGATGCCCTGTCTGAGCGGGTGCTGCTATGAAAGCATGCCTTTTCTGGGTAGGAGGTTGTCATTGCTGCCGTGCGCCAGTGCGGCGAGGCCCTGCGCTTCGCGCGCGATGCTTGCAAGGCTCCACGGCCTTTGTTTAGCTTGCTGGTGCTTTGTCGGGAATCAGGGAATGAAAGGGAATATGATCCCTACATTTTCTAATACATTCCCTGATTCCCTCTATTACCCCGGGCCCCTATACAGGCCCCATGTAACCCCATAGTACCCCTGTATTACCCCTATGTTCCCTTATTCCCTACTTAAGTCCCCAGTAAGGGCGAGGTTGTGGTGGTGACGGAGGCGGTGCAGGAAAGTGGCAGGCAGGGATTATATAGGGATTCTGTAGGGGTTATATAGGGGTTATATAATATCGGGATACTGGAAATTAAAGTGGATTTTTTTGGATTCTATGTGGTTTATTCGGTTTATCTAAGGATTTCTTCAATTTCATTAAGAACTTGTTGAAACTCTTTGTTTTTGTTTGGCAGGGCCCTCCTACATGCTGCATCGGCCTGCAAAGCAGATGCAGCGGTCGTGGAGGTTGCTGTGAAGCAGGCGGACTGGGCTTAACCAAGATGATTCAAAATGGTAGTACCTCGCTGAGGAAGTGAGACGCAACCCAAAATCATTCAAAATCATAGGCATCCCCTCAAAAGCACGCAATGCCGAAATGCCCACAGCACAAACCGAACAAGAGACTTGCACCCTGTAACCCCTATATACCCCTGTTAAAATATAGTTTGCTTTTCCATTATGTCCACATAACCCCAATATACTATAGAGAGACTTGCATCCCTAGACTTCGAGGATGGGAGGGCCCTGGAATTTGCCGAGGAGGCCAAGGCGAATAGGCAGTTGCTTGTCTTATAAAGGGTTGTAATGGGTTCTGATGGGCTGCTATTTGTAATGGGTTATAATGGGTTGTTATGTATACCGGGGGCCGTCCTAAAACCCTTCTTTACTTTTTATATAAAGCCGGAACATGTGAGAAACAAAATCAGTGCTTTTCTGTGGTCGCGAAA